GATCTCGTTCGGGCTCGTTCGGAGGCGTCTGATGAATCAATGATTCTCACTCGTTTTAGTCGTTAATCAGTCTCTCATTCTCATTCCTTGCTCCGTTGAAAATACTGAGAGCGTTTCTTTGTAGACGCCACTTGAGTTTGTCCATTTGGCCTTGCTCGCATGTCGACTGGAGTTGACAGTCGACATCTGCAAACTACACTATCGTATATACACTCAGGAGCGAGTCCCCATCGACGATCCAACTCGCAGGCTCCCCCAGCTGCGGAACTTGTGGAAAGTCCGCAAAAATTGTCGAAGCAGCAACGCTGTTCAGTACCTGCAAAAATGGCACAGACTCAGAGATCTCGTTATTTAAAGACGGGCGCCATTGTGGCAGCCCTGTTGCTGATGTTGCTCTGGATTTCTCCGTCAAGACCTATGCGTCCGAGCTTTCCTCAAGGTCAGTTCAATTGATCCTTTTACAACTTGCTGATCGGGATAACTCATTATGTACTCAGGACGGCCAAGCACCAGTGCTCCTGTCAAAGAAAAGTGCTCAAAGCCCCATGACCCTAAAAAGCCATTGATTCAGTATGCTCTTATGATTGATGCTGGAAGCCAAGGATCTCGGATTCACGTTTATCAATTCAACAACTGCGGCCCCACCCCCGAACTTGAAGATGAAGTATTTTTCCAGACTGAGCCGAAGCAGGGCGGCTCCGGGCTGAGTTCTTACAAGGAGGATGCTGAAGGAGCAGCCAAGAGTCTTGATCCTCTCATGGAGGTTGCGATGAAGACTGTTCCTGATGAATACAAGTCTTGCTCGCCAATTGCTGTAAAGGCCACAGCCGGATTGCGCATGCTTGGCCCGGAAATGAGCCAGAAGATCTTGGACGCAGTACGAACTCGCCTTGAGACTGTTTATCCGTTCCCTGTTGTTTCCAAAGAGAAGGGAGGTGTGGAAATCATGGATGGCTCCGACGAGGGTGTCTATGCCTGGATCACGACGAACTACCTTCTCGGAAAAATCGGCGGCCCTGACGAAACACCTACTGCCGCAGTCTTTGACCTTGGTGGAGGTTCTACCCAGATCGTTTTCCAGCCCACATTTCCGAAGAGCAAGTCAGGCGGCATGCCGGAGCGCTTGGCCGAAGGTGATCACAAGTACGATCTCCAGTTCGGTGGCCGACATTTCGAGCTGTATCAGCACTCTCACCTTGGCTATGGTCTCATGGCTGCGCGCAAAGCCGTTCACAAATCTATCGTTGAGAGTATGCTCGCATCCAGTCCCAAAGACTTGTCCTGGGTTAAGCAGCCAATCCCTAACCCTTGTATCGGGCCCGGGATGGAGAAGAATGTCACTTTGGAGTTTCCAGATGGGCACAAGCTCGCTCCAGAAGTGCAGGTTACCATGGCTGGCCCAAAGGTGGGGTCTACCGCCGCTCAGTGTCGTGGTCTTGCAGAGAAGACTCTGAACAAGGAGGCTGCATGCACCCTTGCTCCTTGCTCCTTCAACGGCGTCCACCAGCCATCGCTTGAGAAGACATTTGCCAGGGAAGACGTATATATCTTCTCTTACTTTTACGACCGTACCAAGCCCCTGGGCATGCCTGACTCGTTCACTTTGGATGAATTGCTTCAGCTCACGTCGACCGTTTGTGGTGGCGAAGATAGCTGGGGCATTTTTGCAGGCATTGAAGGCGCCCTGAAAGAGCTTCGTGATCGGCCCGAGTGGTGCTTGGATTTGAACTTCATGATGGGTCTGCTCCACTCTGGCTATGAAATGCCCCTGACTCGCGAGGTGAAGGTTGCCAAAAAGATCAAGAACAGAGAACTCGGATGGTGTCTCGGTGCAAGGTAAGATAAGGATGAAATGAAGAATGCTTACAGTATATGCTAACGTCTCTTCCCTCAGTCTACCCCTTCTGAGCCAAGAATCTGGCTGGACTTGCCGTATCAAGGAAATCTCATAATGGATGATGTTGCTATGTCATGCTTTAATTATCTAATTGCCATGGATTCATTGCCTGTGTTTCTGCTTCTTCCTTCATGCAAATACATTAGACTATTGACTTGTCGATCATCACTTGATTCTTGATCTATAGACCACTGATTGTTCATTACGGGCGACTGCTCTCTCAGGTTCACAAGACCTCACCGAAATATCATGGCTGTGACTGTGCATAAATGACTTACTGATTGTTAGATACGGTCAGAAAAATTGACTTCTACATCAAATGAATGAGTGGAAAAAATAGTTTTTATCCAAAAAACAGATGGAGCCCACTAGATTTGGGTAACAAGGTGTCAAAACTGAAAAATCCGTCAACGCCAGGCCTATGCAATGTCTTAAGAAGAGCGTGGCTCGGTCAATTCCTCAATCGTGGGCTTCTGGTCCGAAAATTCCTTCGTCTTGCCCATCAGTTTATCCAAAATATCCGAGTCTTTCTGCAATTTAGTATCCAATCCCGCGCCATCTTCATCGTTTGCAGATTCTGGACCGTCGCCGATCTCTTCATCAGTAGAGCTACTACAGTCAGCACGTTTTTCCTCCAAAACGCCGAGTCCGAGGTTCTTGAGACGGCAATATTAGCATCCATGTTCTCAATCCTAATTCAGGAAGAAATGATTCAGCCCACCATTTCAATGTACTGGCCCTCCTGGTCCTCCACCTCGTCCAGTTGTAGATCTTTGCCTCTCCCCGCGGCTATCTCTCGTTGTAGATCTTCATTGGCACTCTTCATCTTCGGCAGAAATGCAGAAAGTCGGGAGAGAAGATCTGGGTCCTTTGCGATGCAGTGTATCCGAGGTTTCTGTTGCGCCGAAATGCGCGGTAGCGAAGAACCTGCGCCGGATGCTTGGTCGGAACTATAGTCGGCTTCTTGATCCTCATGTTCGCCATCCCCGTCGCTACCGCTGTCGCTGTCGTCGTCGGAGCCAGAGGAGGAAGTATAATCATCATCATCATCGTCCTCCTCACTTTCGCTGGATGTGGAGGCTGTCTTGCGCGGGTTCACCGGCTTCTTTGCGCCGTCACGCTCTGCGGCGGATAAATTCGTCGGCAGGCCCTTATCGTCATTGCGATAAGTGGGGACAATCCTGGCTCTGGTTCGTTTAGAGGGCGATGTATCGTCGAAGGATGATGGGACTTGGGGTTCGTCGGCTCGTAGGCGCTTCCTGACACCGTCCTCCATTCTGTGTCGTTCGTCGTCGTTGGCTGGTTCTGCTGAATTCTTCCCCAAATTCTTACCCGCTTCACACCTAGAGGGCGTTTCGCGCGAGGCGGTGGAGATCGAATCAGCGCCAACGGGCCGGAATCAGATGATGTGATGAGATTTGATCGCGTGCAGAATTGCAGGTGCCATGTGGAAGATGGATGAGAAAGAGTGAAGATCATTCAGTCACCTAAAGAAAGAAACATGGTGGAGATCCGCATTTTTGTGGTCTGGTTGGAGCTGCGACTCCTGCAGACATCGGAAAGGAGTGGTCAGAGCACGAATGAGTGTGAAACTAGGCCCCTATCTAGTCCTTCATGATGGTGACTGTTAATAATATTAAGTCAGATTATAGCCTGATGATGAGCCTCAGCAGCTGTTGGTATTTCCTTTAATTGACTGTTTACCAACCCCGCTTTCCCCTGCAGAATCAGCTCTGCTTGATCTTTCTTCAAGAAGACTTGGCTCTCTACAGGTCACTGTGCTTTCTTTGCTTGTTTCAGGATTCTCAGTTTCTCCTGAAGATATCTAAATCAGTCTTTTCAAGGTGGGTTGAATCTAATTTCATTGTCCTTGTATCAGGTACGTTCTTTCATTTATATCGCGTATCCTTTTGACCTGGTGCTCACTTTACCCCGTCTATCCTCAATCATCCCCCTAGCAAACCTCAGTCCTTTGTATAGCTGGTCTTTCAGTTAACTTCAGACTTGGGTCCCTTGGGAAACTCTTTGTCCTCACTATCTTTACAACAAATTATTCTCTTTAATATCATGCTAACCACAAGAGACAGGACTTCTCAAACGGACTACACTATATCCGCCTCAGCTGGTCTGGATGAAGGGGCTCTTCTATGAAGAATCATTCTCGATCGTTCCAGTCTCTCCTGATGCCAAAGAGCTAAAGTCTCTGCCAGGGGCTATAGATACGCTTCTTGGATAACAGCTCTGCTCATTCAGCCCGCTACAACTCATCCGAACTCCAGCACCACAAGATGAGCGTGCCCAAACTACACGTCAACGACCAAAGCCCTATAAGAGACGACAACTCTCCAACACAAAAAGCAACGGAGAGCCCATCGTCTTCCACGAGAAAGTCGCTGCATCAGAACATCCTCGGAAAACTACGCCCACTGCCATTACAATACCACTGGACAGTATGGTATGACAAGCACTCAGAATCCACCGAGTATGACAACCGATTGTATGTCTTGCATGAGGATGTAGCCGACATTGCCACTTTCTATCGCGTCTACAACAACTATCCCTGGGATAAAATCCGTCTACGAGACTCAGTCCATATCTTCCGGAAGGGCGTCCGCCCGGTATGGGAGGACCCAGAAAACCTCAAGGGTGGTTGCTGGAAATTTCGAGTCCCCAAGAACAAAGCTCAAGAGTTCTTCCACGAGATTGCCATTCTCTGTATGGCAAACGAATTCCAGGCCGCTTTGGAGAAAGGTGCGTCATCCGCTCATCTGTGTTCGCGAGCATCCGAGAAATTCGAGCTGACTGCTTTCCGTAGAACATGACCATGTCCTTGGTGTTTCCACCTCTGTCCGTTTCAACTCTCATATGATCTCCGTATGGAACAAGATGGGCGCGAACGAACGCTCTATCAAGATCCTCGAGCGAACCATTATCGACCGTCTATCGCCTGAGCTGCGGCCTACGAGTTCCGGTAGCAACTCGTATTTCTATAAACGACATGATGAGAATGATGGGTATCAGGAAGCTGTCGCAGCGAGTGTGTCCCATTGATCGGCCACGCCCCACAAATTCCGATCTGCGAGATGTGTACACTTTATTCTTTTCATTCCCAGTGGGATACTGAGAGTTCCTTCGGTCGACAAACTGTTTGATGCTCCTCAAACGCTTTTTCACGGGACAGCAGTATTGCCAGTTTTTCATTGCTATTGATCATTATTACCATTAGGTTTCTTATCATAGATGACCAAAATGTAGAGTAGTATACATGATACACTATGCAATAGAGATGAGATACTCTCGCTAGGTCATCATGCTGGACGGTAAGGCATGAGTTCTAACGACTCCTGCTTCTCCTTTGACCAAGGCTAAGTCTCCGCACCCCGCGGTCATCCGCTCCGCGATCAGGAAGCTCCGCGCCTTTATCTTTCTTTTCTTCATGTTCCTTTTCTTTCTCTTTCTCCTTCTCTCCGTCTCGGGCTCTTTCACGTTCCCGCTCGCCGCCGGGTATGTATCGATCAATCTCCACGAACCCTCGACGCTCCTCTCGCTCAGGACGTTCTGGAGATCGGACCCGCCTTCGAGGGGATCTGCTCCGATGGCTTGTTGGGGGCACATAGCGGTCGATGTCAAGAGTGCTGGGGGAACGCCGTCGCGAGCGAGACGGTTTTCGAGAGGAATTCGGAACGCGGGACTTGGATCTTCCCCGCTCGCCGTTACGGTCTCCTTCTCGGACCGGGCCTCGGTCTTGTTCTTTGTCTCCATCTCGGTGCCGTTCTTGCTCACGATTCCGCTCTCGATCTCGGTCTCGATCTCGATCTCGGGTTTGATCTTGATTTCGATCTCTAGCGTGGGAGGCAGAGCGCGAGCGTCCGCGTCGAGCTCGCGAACGGGACCGAGAATAGTAACTGCGGCGTCGACGATCCCGGTCCCTGTCCCGGTCCCTGTCCCTGTCGCGCTCTCTATCCCTGTCTCTGTCCCGATCTCGATCCCTGCTGCGATCACGGGTGCGATGATCACGATCTCGGTCTCGTTCGTCCGTTGGATGCGAGCGATCTCGAGCTCGATCTTTCTCCCGTTCCGCACTTCGATCTCGATACCTGCTGCGGTCCCTGTCCCGGTCAAAACCACGACCAGTTGACCTGCTCCTACTTCTGCGGTTAGGGCGGTAGCTACGGTCGCCATATCGATTAGTTCTGAAATCGCGTATGGCAACTCTTTCATCAGGGTTACGATCACGAGGGCGACTAGAAGCATCGCGGGATCGATCCCGTCGACGATCATCATCGAAGCGAGGGGTGTGTCTTCTCCTTGAGCGGCTGCGATCCCGACTGCCATCACGTCTACGCGCGCGGTGACGGTCATCAACAGTCGAGTCCCGTCTTCGGTGTTGATCCACATCGACTGCCGGACTGCCGGACTTCAACGGAGTAATGGAATACCTCGATTCACCGGTTGCACCTTTCGGTTTCGTCGGCGGGGGCTTGAGGCCATTCTCGATGGCCTCAGCTTCTTCAAAATCAAATTCGGGTTTCTGTCGTGCCTTGGCGGCAAGTTCCTCGCCTTCTTTAAGCAGCATCTGGAGAGCGGCCTCTTCCAAGGACTTATCATCCACGGCAACAGGAGGTGGCGGAGGTGCCTGCGTTGGCTCCTTTGGAGTAGCGGACTTCTCTCTCCTCGAATCGCGATATCGCGGTGATCGGTGGCCTATTGAGCCAGCGCGATCGCGGTCGCGCTCTCGATCCCTGTCTCTGTCTCTATCTCTGTCCCTGGTTCGACTGCGATCACGGTCCCTAGCTCGATCCCAGTCACGGTATCTCTCGCGCTCTTCTCGTCGACGGCGCTCATATCTTTCCTGTCGTTCCTTTTCTCGTTGCTCTTCAAGTCGCCGTTCCTCTTCCCGCTGACGCTCACGCTCTGCACGTCGCTGTTCCTCGCGCTCTTTCCGCCTTGCCCTTTCTTCCTCCTCCTTCTGGCGTTCGATCTCGCGCTTCTTGCGTTCCTCTTCAGCCTTTCGACGAGCTTCTTGCTCTTCGAGTTCTCTCTGTTTGCGTACTGTCTCCTGCCATTCTCGTTCGCGTATCTCTCGTTTAGCCCTAATCTGCGCAGCGAAATCCTCGTCCGTTTTGTTGCCGGCTTGCTCCTCTTTTGCAGCGACCTCGTCTCCGACTTGCTGACGGCGAACGTCCCTGACAGAATCTAAGATAAATTGCAGGTGATTGGAGGCCAACGCATCAATAAACTTTTCGGCCCTCTTGTAGACGTCGCTCCGATCGACTGCACCCTCTATCAGCGTCGCAGCTTTTCCTCGTTCACGGGAAAGAAGCTCCGGTTCGCGATCTATTTCTGACTCTGCTAGTTCGATCAATAACTTCGTAAACTCAGCTCTTGCTTCCTACATGAGAAATTCGGCGGTTAGAGCGAATGTGTCGATAATTTCAAGATTAATCTGAAACATACGCCGTCGTGAAATTCAGCCCAGATTTTCTTGCGAACATTATCAAACCCTCCTTTCTTCTTAAAAGCGTGCAGCAGGTCCTCGATCGCAGTGTGTTGGGCCGCAGTCAAGGGTAGCTCTTCCGTCTTGAACTTCTTCCGCTGTAGACTTTCAACATCGAGCAAGGGCCGTTTGACACCAATGGGTTGGACACATGACATCTCATCTGGACCAGCCATCACGAGATAATCAGATCAATAAACTGGAAAGCGCGTAACCAGAGAGCCGCCAAAGCGGCATTCGAAACTGATCAAGACGAATGAAGCGCGTCGCAAATTAATGTTGTCTACGGAGTGCAGTGATTCTAACTATTTCCTGATTGAGTGAAGGCTGGCCCTGATCTCGGAGGAATGATGATCCGCACGCCCGATTGCGAACTGCGGCCCGGTGATTCGGCGGGCCTGAGTGGGAGAGAGGAGGAAAGCAACCTCATCTTGAACGATTGTCCGCTGAACGTGACCCATTGTGTCTCTGTCCGGGCCCGAACCTAGAAGCAATTGTCTTCATCTCAATCACGGCGGCTTCTCTGGGTCACAGTTTGCTTTAGCGACCCCTCCCTATCCCAATCCGCGCAGTCCGCATCCACTACAAACACAATGGTTCACAAAGTCCTCTTCTGGGGCGGCTTCGGTATGTGCCAGCCGGGAATGACCTCTTTCTTATTCACATATCTCCTTCAGTACCAGGAAACTGGCAATTGGATCCTCCGATTTCTGTCGGCATTCGTCATGTCAGTGAAGACCATATTTCTAACATCTCTCTCCATTTAGGCATTGCCGTCCGACTTTGGCAACTCGGTATCGAGATGCGTCCTATTCTCGCCAAGGAGTCTCTCTGGGTGTACCCTCTGTTCGCCGGTGTCGGTGGAAGCTTCGGCTATTGGCTACAGGGTGTTGAGGACAGGCAGCTCAAGATTCTCGCACAACGACGGGAAGCAATTCTGGAGAAGCGCCGGAGACGGGATGAACGTGAGGGAACATTGGAGGCAGGCGCTCTGGCTGCAGCATCGTGAATTCGCAACATTTGTTTTTTGAAGGAGAGGTGCTAGGCAACAGTGGGGTTTCGTTTTACTGGATTGAAAGAACGCCCTATCGATTACTTGTACCAAAATGCAGAACGTCCTTGTTTTTCCGTGTTTCATGGTTATTTTCGACAAAGATGGGACATTAGAAGCGACTTTGAGAACCAAAAAAAAGATTCAAAGCTAAGACTGATGAGCAAGATTTACCCCAATTGCTCTGCTATTGACTGAAATTGACTGAAATTGCACAATACTTTTGCAGTATATAATCTGACACTTCCACTAAAGCACAGCATCAAACTCAAATGACTGAATGCTAGGCATTATGTGGCTATATATGTAATCTAGCAAGCAAGTCTTTGTGTTGGCCCGTCTAGTTCTATGAAGTTCGATCCAACCTAGGCCAGTGAATATATAATTCACTGTTGACTGGCCCGCCCTTAGTGTGATAATATACGGAGTACTCCGGATTTTCGACTCTATCTCCAACTGTAGTCACTAGACTGAACAAAGGAATGCTAGATTCAGATGTGAGGATCTACTCCGGACTCTCAACTTTTGCCTCCTAGAAACCTTTCTCGCTGTCCCCAATCTGACCGAAGACATGCCGTGTTTCTTTGATCTTCCTCAGCATATCAGAGATCAAATCTACCGATATTCCCTCCTCATGGGGCGAGTTTTCATTCGCCCTTTCACCACCGTTGAAGTCCTCACGGATCTCAATCGAACAGATACCTATGGCACACCCAACCTCGCTCTACTCTGGACCTCAAAGCGCATATACGAAGAGGCAATGCCCATCTACTTAAGCGAAAATACCTTCTCCCTCGTCCAAGTTGACCTGTTGGCTGCCGCGCGCGCAGAGTATCCGCGTGTATTCGAGAACCTCAGGAAGATTCGCAATCTGGAGCTCGTCTTCGACTGCCGTGATTACATTTACCTGGCACAATTTCTATCACGGGAGCTACCAGGCATCGCGGCGGCGGTCCAGGATGCGAAGGCATCCTCGAAATACAAGCGCAAAGTGATTGAAAAGCTGGATGAGATGCAGGTCGACTTTGATATTCCCAGGATAGAACAAACCGAGTCGGATCCTGATGAGGAGCTTTCGTCTGAAGAAGAGCATGAAATCCATGATCAGCATATCGAAAATATGAAGGAGTATCTTTGGGGACGCACAATGAGTTTTGTGCGGCAGACGTTCCAACTGTCGCGCCTCTATATTGACTTGCGTCATTGTACCTGTAACTGGGGGTGTTGCCGTCTTGCTACAGAAGTGCTGGCTTGGGGTTGGTTCCACGTCTGGATTCACGGGATGCCGGATGAGATTCATGTGAGAGGTACCTCAGGACGTGAGAAGAAGATCATCGCTCGGTTGTTCGATAAGCAGCGATTCCATGCGGGTTTGGAAATTGACCAAGTCTTCGATCAGGACAGACTTGGAGACGCTGATGACTGGAAGGCGGGCAAATTTGTGTTCCAAGAAGTTCATCAGAGGCTTGTACGCTAGCGAACGATCGAGGGACAGAAAGATATCCCCGAAGTTGGCAACAAGTAATTTGAACAAAAGTCTAGCGGTCAATTCTCAGTAGATACAGGGATAAATAATGACATTTATGCACAAGAAGTGGACATGTGCACTTGTTACCGCAAAACAAACCATGTCAGGATGTTGACGTACATGAAATCCAGTGATATCATGAGTTGTCCACAGAAAATTGCAGTGAAACCTCCCATTTCTGACCACCGGTGCCATATCCCCCGCCCAGTCGATTCTTGATCAAGCTGGAGATTCGTTCACGTAGTCGTACAAGGTTCTCCTCAGAACCAGACACCCGAAGTTTCAGATTTGCCATACACAAGCCATAATGAACTTGCCAGAACCTCGCATCATCAATCCCAAAGACAGACGGATCTGCTTCAATATCCCTAATCACATCCGAGACCCCTGGCCCGGAATAGGACATGAGAAGCATGGATCCCAGGGTTTTAACTAGGCCGACACCGATCACACACATGGAGATTGAAATGGTGACGGACAGCAGAACATCAAGCCATTTGTAAAGCTTGATGGACACCAGAGGGAGAAGCAACAGCAGCGTGGAGCACGAAAGGGTGAGGAAATGAGATGGATTGCTGAGAACCGACGGCAGAGACTCAATGTATCCAAAGCGCATGGCCTTGCCTATCCGTGCATGGTTCTTTAACCCAATTGCGGATACCAGGGTGGACGAGATGGCAAGCAGAGCAGTGATGTCTATACTGCCGACAGAGACGCGCTCATGAGCATGAGTATGGTGAGGCTCATGGTTGTTGCTTGACTCAAGAAAGTGCTGAAGGTTGTGGGAGATGAGGTCCATTCCCATGAACAGTAGCAGCACGCACATTGCGAACCCAGCAAGTACCTCTGCTCGTTCCAGCCCGAACGGATGGCGAATGGAGGATCGTTTCCAAACCTCAAAATTGCCCAATATATCCACAGCTACGCAGAGCAACGCCCCAAGAGAGTCGAACAAAATCAGATGAGACAACGCTGTCATAGCCAAGGATCCATGTGCGCTCCAGAGTGTGTATGCGGCAACGAACATATGGCAGACACTCCACCAGAACCGCGTCTTCTGGTCCTTCGACATGCTAGAACGGCATTCTTTGAGCGTGGGGATAGGCAGCGAATTCGGAAGAGCCAAGGGAGCTCGGGGAGGAGGTTCGAGGAATATTTGATGCGATATACTGCTATGTTTATACTTGTGTCCGCGTCGCTGGCCAATGTTCTACGGGAATTTCGCGCATGACAATTAGCGTTCCAATACAAAGGGCAATGGGCGATAGGGTGCAGTAAAAGCATACACTTACAGATTTCATCACCGGGCCCTTCGCCATAGTTGTGGTCTGAAAGTTGAATGGCCCAGCAGAACCATTGTCGCTTGCACCACTCTGTACAGAGCCATCTGTTGGGCTTAGTTTGAAGGAAGACCTGGTAGGACTCAAACGGTCCCGATCTTCCACACTCGATTCATTTCGAGAGAAATTGTCGACCATTGGCGACAACGTATCTTTATCGTAGGATGCAGCGAACCCCCTTTGGGACTGACTGTCAGTCACGCTCGTGGGATCATCGGGGGGTGGAGTTGGCGTGCGCGGCGGGCGAGGAATGGGGAGGTTCGATGCCATGGCATCTAGTAGAAGAATGTCGACGCCTGCGCCAACAAAAGTAGTTTGGTTGCCAGAGTAGATTCCCCGGACTGGAAGACCGGAAGGGATGGCTTGGAACAATGCCAGAAGGTTGCTCCGACTCCCAAGGGACGAGCTCTTCCCGACCGATCGCTATCAACGGGTAAAGGCGGGGAGGCTGCGGCGGCGGCCTGAGGCCTCGACTCACTCATCGCATCATTGACTCTCGCCTCCACCGGCGTCCGTCATCTCTTGCCATTGATTACAGCTTTAAATCATCATCATCTACTCAATAGGCTTTTTGCCTGGCCATCGCGACGTCCTGTATAAATGGAAACTCTGTCGTGACTAGCGATGCGATCAACATAAACCGTACCCAAAGGAGACTTGAACGGACCCCGATGCCTGCATCGCTTCGTGGCATCGATGGATAACCGCGGTTCCTTCTTCTTCCTGCTGATCGTTTTTTATCTTCTTCTCAGCTCGCAATCTCGTCCGCCGTTGCTTGACCAGGATCGAGAGCGTCAGCGGGAAGTTGCAAGGGAACGAGATGCGCTTCGTCTGTTGAATGAATCCAAATATGGGGACTTCGATCCGTCGGCTGATAAATGGCTTCCTTTTGCGGGAACCAGGAAGAACGACAGTTATGCTTGGGGTATTCTCCCGGTAGCTCAGGGTAGAGCTCGTCACCAGTTACGATCCGCCATTTCAAGCGCTGGGCTAGAACCTCCCAGGTCTCTAGAAGACCCTGACGCTTTACCTTCCCTGAATCTGACACAGTTGTTGCTCCCCGTCTATCGCAATGCGACAGGGAAATTGCGTGGGGATTGGGTTCGCCGCAAGCTGGACAAAGATTCTCCGAAACTCAACACTACGGCTATCGCTTTGGAGCATGAATATTTCACTCACGAGTTCGGCTTGAACATCACTGGTAGCAGCGGAACTTTCTACTTGGATCTTAGGGAAGGCGGGGGCGAAGAGCTTCGGGTAGATAGCGGTCAAGTTCGAGAGATACGAGCGACATTGGCTGTGGAAAGCAATGACTTTTGGGGAAATACCTGGTATCTCTCCCTATTCGGTGTCCATTTCCCAGAGACGGGAGGCATCATCCTGAGTTCAAATAGCGAGAAGTTTGAGGGATTGTTCACGCTGCCGCATCTGACTTTCTCCTCCGACGCGTATGAGCTTTCCCATCAGCTTCTCCTCAAGTCACTCTCTGATACCTTATCTGAAAAAGAGAATCGCCCTCCGACGCTTTTCCCGTGGTCGTCCTTAATTGGATCGGAGCAGGTAGAATTCCCTGCACCGAAGTGTGAACATATTGTCTACCTGCAACAACATCCAGTCGCTATTCATGACTACCTAGCGGATAAGCCAGTGGTCGACCAGATAGAAGAGGAGCTAAGATTCCCAATTGGGGCTCCGGTACCGCCTGCGCCGTTAATGGTCATGTCCGCCGTGGTATTTTCTCCAGACTGTGGGTATATCCTCGAGACCAAGGGAACCCCAGACTTCCCTCCCAGTGAAGCCCTCTACCTCACGGGCCCGAAAATTGAAGAGTACGACAAATACTCTGCGCGTCTCGTATTTATCATATGCGGAGTGTTTGCCACACAAATCACACTACTTCTGAGACAGATCAAGGAGGCGTCGACACCTTCCACCAGAAGCCGTATCAGCTTCTATACAATCGCTCTTATGGCCTTTGGGGATGCTTTTGTTCTTATCTTCATTCTCTTGGAGCTGTATCCGGCGGTGTCATTCTTGGTCATGGCGACGGCCGCTTTTCTCACGTTTCTGTCGGTCAGCTACATTGGTATGAAATTCATGATGGAGATTTGGGCTGTTCAAGCGCCCGAACGCAGGGAGCAAGAGCGTCGCTCCAATCCTTCGGCTTCAACTCTGCGCACAGGGGGCCTACCCCTGCCTGCGACATCGGCCCGAGTAAGAGACACTGGCGCAACGCCCGTCATATTGACTCCAGATCAAGATCCTCCTGCAGAGGAGAATGATCAACCAACCAATCGTGGTACTACTCCAACGGCTCAAGAAACTCGCAACGACGTCGGTGCGATGTATGCACGATTTTACTTCATCCTGTTCGTGATGCTCATTCTTTCCATATGGTCTTTCCTTTGGCCGAATCGGCTAGGAGCCCTATATGCGCGCGCCCTCGCCTTTGTCTATCTGTCATTCTGGACCCCACAGATTGGCCGCAATATTATGCGGAACTGCCGTAAAGCGCTCCGTTGGGATTTTGTGGTCGGACAGAGTATTCTACGACTATTTCCGTTTGTGTATTTTCTAACGGTGCGTGGCAACGTGCTGTTTATACGTCCAGATACGACTACTGCTTTTGTGCTAGTAGGCTGGGTGTGGATTCAGGTCTGCATCCTGGCGAGTCAGGACATTCTCGGACCGCGGTTCTTCATTCCTCGAGGCTGGGCGCCGCCAGCGTATGACTATCACCCCATTTTGCGAGATGCCGGTGAATCTGAGGCAGATCTGGAGTCCGGTGGTGTCCTGCCGATCGGTGCTCTCAGGGCTGATGAAAGGGATCTCTCCGGCGACGCGAAGGATGAGGACAAACGGCGGACCAAGGATAGAAAAAAGGCGGTTTTCGATTGCGCCATTTGCATGCAGGAAATCGAGGTACCTGTTCTTGCAGCGCGGGGAGCCGCCGGAGGCAGCAGTGTCACGGATGGAGCTACCAGTATCCTCAGTCGTCGCACTTACATGGTGACGCCTTGTCGACATATTTTCCACAGCACATGTCTCGAGAGCTGGATGCGATTGCGGCTCCAGTGTCCCATTTGTCGAGAGTCCATCCCTCCTGTATAGATGTATCATAATGACCTGTACGCGAATAGCGCTTTATGCACAATGGTGCAATGTAATTGGCCTGCACGAATTGAATCGCACTATGAATGAGCAACGAGCGGTTCTTTATTGTTGTATAGTAGGCAATATATCCAAGTTTGAGACTCTACATAGACTATAATAATATCAAAAATGTCAGACATGCTTCATATCGATATACCAAGATTTGAAGAACATGTTTCGTTTGTAGTAAGAGGCCTTCTTGTTGAATAAAGACCGGCCGCTGGCGGCTCAACAATGATGTCACACATAATATCCGTCAATCCGTACAACTTAGCCATCCTTTGACGTCTAAATAGACCGTATAAAAATTTATACCATAAGCCAATTCCTTCACGAGCAATAATCATTCAACCATCATTATTTCAATTAGTGGTCTTCGTCAATACTCTCCTTGTAGGCGACCTCATCGAGCAGACCGTCCAGCTCGGCAACGTCACTGACCTCGATCTCAGCGATCCAGGCTTCACCCTCCGGGCTCTGATTGATGAACTTGGCATTGTCCTCGAGAATGCTGTTCCCCTGCACAACCTTTCCAGAGACGGGAGACAGGACGTCCGAGGCGGACTTGACCGACTCGACGGCACCCACGGCCTCGCCGGCGCTGACCTCAAGGTCGGCGGTGGGAAGCTCTACATACACGACATCACCAAGGGACTTGGCGGCGTACTCTGTGATGCCGATCTTGGCTGGAGAGGGATTGGACTGTTAGTAGCTGTAGAGCGAGAGATTGAGGTCGTTGTGATGCGACAGAAGCAAAGGACTCACCTGTCTTGCCGTCTTCGGCCAGCTCAATCCACTCGTGAGACTCGGTGTACTTCTTGACTTCCACTGCGTAGCATTATAGACATTAATATAATGCTTTGTCTTGAGAATAGCATCTCAATGGCTTCATGAACGCTGAACTGAATGATTTCTTACAGAATGGGCTCTGAGAGAAGCTCCTGACACTTCCCCGCGGGAAACCCAGAGCGGGCGAGGCCCTTCGGACGCTGGAGGTCAGAGGGGCCTTTTGAGAAAGGACGCGAGAAGCGAAAGGGCGGAGGGATCTGGCGACGGTAGACATTTTGTTTTAGAAGCTGAAAATTAGAGGAAAGAGGGACAATTGCAAGGAGAAGGAGAGTTGGGAGGAAGATGGAAATAGATAATGATGAACCCGCGGAGGAGAAATCGCGATTAAATGGAGCTGTGAACTAGCTTTCCGAACTGATAGGCGATGCCAAGACCAGCTGATAAGGAAACGGCCATCTTGTTGTCCGCAGCGCCGGAAGGGAAAAGTAGTTAGGTGGTGACCGCTCCCGAAAATCTCATCCGTCAAACGCCCTTCATCCCCGAAGCGTCGTCCACACTAACCCCGTCGATGCGATGTTGTATGAATTGATTGCCGTTGTGAGTATATTCCTGGTCGCCTTTTTTCAAACATATCTTCGGCATCGAACTAATGTCCTCAGGTCCGTCCGGGCAGTCTCAACGAGGTTCGGGAGTATGTCTCGCATCCCACCCCACCCTTTCTTTCGAAATGACACATCTATCATTCTTTTCTATATTCGAATGCTTCTTCGGACAGGGTACAGACTCCAAGCTAATGATGAACAGGATCGCTCGTAATGCCGGCATTCAAGTCCTCCGATCAGGCGGCGTAGTCCGCGGATACACAAACTGGGGCACCTTCCGACTGCCCAAACCCACCACCAAACACCAAGCTCGATACACCGACGGCCACCACTTCATCATGCGCTTCGATGCTTCAGGCCCTGTTCAGTCCGCCGTACGCAGAACCCTCAGTCTCGACCCGCGTATGATCCGATTCTCAGTCGTGAAGTTGGGCGACAAGCTCGAGGAGATCAAGGACGTGGAGGGAAAGGTTGAATGGACCAATGCTCGCAAGCTCGCCGACTCGATTTGAATGTGTACCACTATCATGGGCCGTTGAGATGGGGCAGGGGGGCATTGACGTCGAGTACGGTGGTTTTTCTGGAATTTGAATGCTGGCATTGCGATATCATTGTATCATTTATGGGACTGGGTCTATCTGTACTATCATACCAACATTGCAGGCGCATAGAGATTGAATTCATTTTTTGAGTTGGAAGTTTTTTTTATCTCATTTTTAGCTCAACGCTGAGCACTTTGCTCATTGTAGCTTTCCCACGTGACCAGCATACCTCCGATCAATAGCACTTCTGGACCCAGCTTAAAGTACCACGAACGGGAGAGCACACTTGCTCAGAGCTTATAAAACAAAGCAATTGTCTGTCTTGTATTTTTCCTCTCTTCTATGTTGATTCTGATGGAGGATGCCGCGTTGGCATGTTAAGTGCATCGCTTCTTCCCGATCAGCCGAGGTTCATGTATCGGCTGGGATGATCATCTGAATCTGATCGAGCTATCGCTCTACGAACTACATAATTATGTCGAACGGCTAGTGTGCTCGGGTGCAGTACTTCTTGCCGGAAAATGATACCCTGCTTGCAAGATACTTGATCCAGATCTGACCCTGCTCTTGTGCTCCATGAACGAAAAACCAACCTACATTCATCGCACAGCATCATCATGACTTCGCAAGACGATCGGCCCGACGATTCAGGAGAACTGCCTTTTCGCACCTCCTTCGTCGACTTAATGGGCCTCAAACGTCTCGGCTCGCCCGGCAGCACTCCGGACGCACCAGAGAAGGTCGAGCGGTTCCAATCTCTCGCGGCACCATACCCCCCTGGCATGGGCGAAAGGGCATTTGGCGGCCACGTCTACGCTCAGTCCGCATATGCAGCGTCGAAGACCGTCGACAAAGGGTTTGTAATACACGTAAGTCTGCCTTCCTCGGCACACTCGTCATCAATACCTGATTGAAATGAACAACCAGGACATGACGGGCTCGTTCATTCTACCAGGCCTCCTGGACGTCCCGTACGTGTATACAGTTCGCCACATACGCGACGGGGGCATGTACTGTACGCGCGCCGTCGACGCACGGCAGGAAGGCAAAATCTGCTTCTCGTGTTTGTGCTCGTTCAAGCGCGACGAGGGGCAGCAGACGTTCCACCATCAGCTGGCCCCGGCACAGGAGCGCTTCAGGTCGCTTCTTGCCGGGAAAAGGCCAGAGGATCATATGCCTAGTCCTAGCGTGGATGCGGACTGGTGGATTGAACAGGTTCAGCGGGGGGATATTGCTGAGCCAGACTTTCCGGGGCTTGATGTGAGGAAGGTGGATATGACGAGCTACAATGCCACCGAGGAGGTGAAGCAGAGTCCGGAAAAGTATCGCCAGTTGACGCTTTACGCTCTCAAGGGTTCACCGCAGGACCCAGATGTTGCGTTGAGCAAGCAAGACCTCAAAGCCAGAGACAGCACTGGCGAGTTCGATAACCTCTATGCCTGTGCGCATATGTATGCGAGCGACAAGAACTCACTCTTATTGATACCACGTGCGTTGGGCCACAAGACCTGGTCTGCAATGGCCAGTTTAACGCTGACGGTGGTGTTTCACCACCATGGTGAAGCGCTGAGGATGATTGACTGGGATGTAGTGAAGGAGGAGGATGGAACAAGTTTGCCCAGGAAATGGTTTATCCAGGAAGGCTGGACGCCTACGTCGGGAGAAAACAGAGCTGTCCATGAGAGCTACTTGTGGAGTCCAGAAGGGGTGTTGCTCGCCACCAGTTATCAGGATAGCATGTTCAGGCTGAAGGAACTGGGTCGTGAGAAGAAACTATAGAACGATACATAGATATGTATACAGATTAGTATAAATTTCTAATTATGATTGCTATAGAGTGACGTTCAACTTTGAATCATTGGGGATTGCATAAAAGGCCAAAAACATAGTCAGCTGGCATCTGTCAGCTGATGAGTGATAAGCGACACTCGATGCCATCCATGGTTGATGGGGTTGCTCGATAGTCCATGTGGAGATGTTGATCTTGGGTGCCGCGTGGAACTGCCTAGCAGGGCCTAATCCACTGGAAGGGCATTTCCGTTAATTGATGGACCGTCGGAGATTTAAACTTCATCATCTGCTCATCTATAATTCGACAATACATCTTTCATTCTCCAAGTCAGCAGCGAATATCCATATCGGATTCAATAAGAATCGCGAAGCAGCGGATATCGCAGCAGACTTGTGTGCTTCACCGAAAGTTCAGAGCTTCGAGCGCTTCACGATTCCACGTGCTTCTCAAGGTCTTATCGCGGCACAACCGAGACTGATTGCAGAACCCATAACTGCGTAAACACATCTTATCAACAAGCTTCAGAATGGCCATCGAGGTGGTCAACCTCACCGAGGCGGATATCCCCGCAGCGATCGAGGTGATCCAGCAAGCGTTTGCCGACGATCCCTATTTCAAATGGGTTTTCAATCCAGCCAAGGTATGTAGCATGGTAACGGAGTACGCAGAAGGCACTATTGAGATTTGCTGCCAGGTCGAAATCCTGTTAATCAAACAAGCTAACATGTGCTGTGTCCCATGGCGCGGTCGAGTCGACACCGACCTGCGTCCCCGTCATCTGAGATTTACCACATAGTTCAATAAACAAAGGAATTATGGTTCTCTTGAAGCACGATGCCGCTGGGGCATCGACAACGCCATCTTCCAAGTCGCCAGAGAGATCCCTTCACCAGGGAAGAGCGATGGAAACGACACCCCCTCTCGCGTGCTCGGTGTCTCATGCTGGCTCCCGCCCCATCCCGCCTCAGAGCCTGAAAGCTGGTCCAGCTGGGCGCAGGGCTGGCTGCTATCGTTCCGGCAGTTCCTGAATAATGTGCGCCACATGGGCCGGGGCGGGCTCAACACGCGCCGCTATTGGATCTGGAAGGATCGTCAACGGGAGGCGCAGAGTCAGATCTGGGACGATCCGCGAGGGTACTATTTCTGTAATATTGTGGCGGTCATTCCGGAGGCTCAGGGAAAGGGGGTCGGGAAGAGGTTGTTTCAGGCTGTCACAGATCGAGCGGACGAGGAAGGGGTGAAGTGTTATCTGGAGAGCTCAAAGGATGTGCCCAACGTGGAGATTTATCGGCGGATGGGGTTCGAGATGGCCAAGGAGATGGCGTGCAGGGATGGGGAGGATGAGTGCATGGTATGTTTGTTTCCAGGCGGGCTGATCAGAGTCTCGATATTGACGTTTCCTGCAGCTGTATTGTATGGTCCGAAATCCAAAGCCCAAGTCTTAAGGAGAGGCAGGGGGGATCTTATTGCTGGGGCGCGGCATTTACGACGAATGGCATCGATCGCGATACAGAGGTATTATCCTCGAATCTAATTTCGGCATCTAAGGAGACTATGATTATGTCAAAGGGTCAATATGAGCACTGATATACTCCGTAATATCAATGTGTAACGATCTGATGTGATGGCTCAGATGGGCCTCTGAAAAGCACACGAATCACACCAAGAGGTCCCTTGTCAAAACGCCATGATGTATCAATCCATGCAGCTTAATCCATAAAGGCCCATGATCATCAACGCACATATGCACTCAAACCCACCCTACATCTATCATGTAGGACTTCAGACGTCAACTCCCGATCCCAGCCTCGAAATCTGCCTGTATTTTCCGGCTCAGGTGGCCCAATCATGCTTTAGGATATCAGTCTGCCGACGAGACCGTCTGGTCCAGGCAGCAAGCAGAGGATGAATTGAAGACAGGTATTAAACAGGAGGACAGGTGCGGGGAATAAAGTACCTACAGGGTATATAGCACAAGGATCATGGTTACAGTAGTCACAATAACGAGTGTCTTAAGTGGCCATGCAAGTTGAGGACATACTCGCCTAATTAAAACGGCACTATTCTACCATTCTCAAGCAAGAAGAAGACGAAGGAGCACTCCGTAGACAGTTAATCCTCTACTACTCCGTACTTCGTACTGATAAATCAAGACCCGCTGTTCGTCCAGCTGACGCGAACCTCCCCAATCACGGAGAATACTTGGCCTATGATCGGCCGAAACCTAAGCTAGAGTTGGGATGCTATCCCGTCAGTCTGCGTAGATCACTTGTTTCGCGGTCTTCTGTTCCGTCAATGAAGTATTTTGAAGTACCTGGGATTGTCCTAGTTCGTGGTATTGTCGATATCACTTTTCGGAATGCTTTGCCGCCATTCATTCGTCAATCTCTTGAATACGACAACTGGGATAGGTTGAAACTCGTCCAGATGATATTCGATGTTTGCGGCAGACTGTTAACAAACTGGCAGTCCTTACCGTATCCTTAATCAGATGCATTCGACACCGCGGTTAGCCGCCATTCCTGGGACGAACTAGCAGATCTTAAGGAACAGGACCAATATGAAATGATTTAGCAGATACTGGCATGACTCGGTCGCGGGAGAACTAGTCTCTCGACGGAAAAATTCCATGTCAGAAAGACAGCATCGGTTAGGGAGTATCTATCTAATACGTGGACACAACTACCACCTAATCACTGATGATACTAACTTATGTAGTCTAGCTCAGAAAGCAATTCCACAGGCAGCTTGCTACCTAGTGAGTCGATCATTTTTACTTACTGCCATCTTCACATTTAATCATGACATGAACCACGGTCTTCTGGCAATGCCACCAGGCCCACCACAGGCGCGTAGTGCCTGAAGCATTCCTCACCCTTGTGAAACCATATATACAGAGCCTGAGGAGACCTCGAGAATCCGTCTTACAAATGCAACACAATGGATTCAATATGAAGTAGACGATACTAATTTCCACAATCAACAACGCACTGGTATCACTTCACATTTGTACTTTTCACGCCATACATGGACTCCAATACTTAATATATGAGCACAATATAAGGATCTTGTCCAGACCACCCCTGAGCTCGCAAGCTGCCCCCGATATTGCATTGCATATGGTCCGTGCGCCGAACCCAGCTGTCGCCTTTCTAGAGTTGACTCTTGCAAGCTCAAG